GGCCTCCTGGAGCCTTTCTTGCCTTGTCAGGAGCCCACTGCCCTCTTCAGGCCTGTCCCCTCACCCCCCACCCCCGCTACCCCGTGAACTGCCCTTTGCTCTAGGGAGGCAGGTCGTGCAGCCTCTCAGATGATGGCCCCAAGGACAGGGAGCCGTGGCGGGCAGGCCCTCTAGGTGAGGCCTGAAGTCAGGTGACCCGCAGGTGGCATGGGCCTGGTCCACCACACGAGGGTCCTCAGAATCTGGGCCCCTAGCCCCAGGGGAGGCGAGGCATCCGAGGTGGGGGGGTGACTCCCACGTGGAGTCTGGAGAAGGTGCTGCCTGGGCAGGGGCCCGGCCTCTCCTGGGGGCTGGGAGGAGTTGGAAGAGGGCGTGTGTGGCGCTCCAGCTGGCCTGAGCCCTTCCCCAGGGAGGCACCGCCCACCCCGCAGGGTATGCGGACCGGGGGTTCCTCACTTTGCTTGCTGATGAGGCCCTGGGTGGGGAGAGCAGCCACAGTGCTCTGAGCTCAGGAAGAAATCCCCAGAGGGAGGGAGTGGGGCTGAGCAGAGGCCTTCAGCTGGGCTCTGCCCCAGGCAGAGCGGCACCTCTGGCCCCAGCCTGGAGAGCCTGGGCCGGCTGTTCAGGACGGGAGTCTTGGGGCTCCACCTTGTGACTTCCGCGAGGCAGCTCGGTAGCGGGCCATGCAGACCCTGCAGTGCCGCCCAGAGCCCAGGGCGCTGAGCTGGGCCTTTGACGCAGCACTGCCCATGGGCGGTCCTGTGGTCCCCAGAGGTGGCACCACAGGCGCCTGACCACCCCCGAACATCAGGCCAAGCCCCCTCGACCCTTCCCTTTCTCACCTGCTGTGATGGCCCCTCCGCATCGGGTGGGCGGGGCTCCTCCAGAGGCTCTTGTCGCTGGCCTGGCCACCTTGGGGCAGTCATGGGGTGCAGGAAGCCAGGGCGGCCTCCAGCCCCCTGAGCCCGGGGCCTTGGTCCCTCAGACTCCGAGAAATGGTCCTGACAACCTGAGGGAACTTGGGAGTCTCTTTCCCCAGAGGAACCTCCAGACTAGAGAGACAGAGAGAGAGAGAGAGAGAGACACACACACACACACACACAGACACACACACACGAACCCCCAACCTTGAGACCCTAGCCCTGCGGGACTCCTGACTACAGCCCTGAGACAATAAAGATGCTGTTTGAAGTTGCTGGACTTGTGGTGATTTCCTGCACAGCAGTGGGAAACAGATAATTATTATTTTATGGTTTATTTCCTGCTCTCTCATCCCCACTCTGGTAGGCTGTATTTGCCAAAGATGCTGTACCAGTGTAGTGTTTTTCCTCTACGTGACCTGTAGGAGACTGTGTCTGTGCCCCCCTGGGATGTGGGCTGAGCACTGTCGCACCTCACAAAAATGCCAGGCACGTCCACCAGGCTCTCGGACACTCCCTCTGGGAACCAGCCACCATGCTGCGAGGAAGCCCAACCAGTCAGCTGCCGTGTGGAGATGCCAGTCCAGCTACAAGCCCCATTATCTACCAGCCATCAGCTGTCCAGTCACTCTAGCCTTCAAGTCCTCCCAGCTGTCGGGGTCAGAGAGAAACGTCCAGCTACACCCAGGACGAACCATCCACTGCAGAGCCCATGAGCACAGTATTGGCTGCATCACGCTTCCCACACACCAGGGCCACCTCTCTGGTGAAAGGCAGTGGACATTGCCCTCAGGCTGGCAGCCTGGCACACAGAATGTGCTCAGTAAAGACTCGTGGGGTACATTTAATGACGAGCCCCACGGGTGCTCCCTGTGGAGTTCCATGGGTTCAGGTGCTGATTGTTTGCTGGGTGTGAGAGGCCGCCAGAGGACGTGGTGGCGCTGGATGGGAAGAAAGTTATCCTCTTCTGGGCAACATGGAGTTGGCGTGATCTCTCCCAGCCTCCACCGTCCAGGGAGCCGAGAGGACAGCCACGGCCGGGGCACACAGCACACCTGTATGCTGTTTCTGTGGCCTTCTACCAGCCATTCCTGGCAGACAGGATGGACCCTGGTCCCTCGCGGCCTCTGCTCCCCAGACTCTGCTATGAGAGCCTCCTCGAACTTGCCCCACCCCAGGCCAGCAAGTGGCAAAGAGGAGTTTGAAGAGAAAGGAGCCAGCCTGGAGCCCACCACCTGAGTCAGGAAGGGGCGGCACCTTCCCTGGGCTGGGAGAGCCTGTCTTGCCCACTGTGCAGGGCGCTGCGTGGTCGGGCGAGCCCTCCAAAGCCTGCATACGGGGACTCTCGGCCCCTTTCCCACGTGCCCGGCTGTGACTAACGAGAGAAGAAAGCTCAGCTGAGACCATGCAGAGTCAGGGAGCAGACTGAGGGTTCCCCAGGCTCAGGGACCGCCAGGAGCTGAGGCCAGGCCTGCTGGCCCAAAGACCTTCTAGGAAGCCAGTCCGACCCCGAGGCAAAGTCCAGGACCAGGGAGCTTACCGGGTGCCTAAGCCAGTCAGGGACATGGGTACCCTACTTGGTCCCAGGCTGCCCCGGAGGCCCCCGTGCCTCTCCCCAGTTCTGAACGCAGTCTCTGCAGCAGGCCTTGCACTGGGTCCCCTCCCCCAGTGGAGGGAGTGAATGAACGACCTGTGTGTGTGACTGAGTGAGGGGCTGGCTGGCTCTGGGCTGGGGCGGGGCCCAGCATCCTTGAGCATCACATTTTGGGGCTGATGTGGCAGGAACTGCCCCTGACTTGGTGTGGCTGAGCAGAGGACTCGAGGAGGTTCAGGGTGGGCTTCAGATGGGCCTTACTGCATGTCTCAGGACAAGACGAGACGACTGGGCGGGACTGGGGGTGCCAGTCCTGAGGCCAGGAGCTGTGAGGAGGGCCCCCACGTGCACAAGCCTGGCTCCACCCCAGCACCCTTCTGAGCTTGGGACCAAACCCATAGCTGGTCCAGCGGCCAGGCTGGAGCCACAGGGTGAGGGGCAGAGGCCAGGTGGCCAGACACCGCAGCCCAATGCAGACGCGCTCTCCCCCTCAGACAGGCAGACGTACCACCAGCTCGCCATCACCTCTCTGAGCCGTGGCCTCCCTCTGAACGCCGAGGGCTTTAAAGGGAGCCCCAAACCTGGCAACGCATCTGGCCAAGAGCCCAGACCCCTGGCCTGGGGCCTGTGTTCTGCCACTTGCTGGGCCATCCCTGTGGGACAGGTCCTTGTTCTCCGCATGGCCCTGCCTCACAGCCCAGCCCCACCCAGAGGGACGTGGGGGAAAGGAGGAAGGAGCAAGAGGTGCCCACTGTGCAGATGGGGCCGGGTCACCCCCATGACATCTTAAGAGGTGCCGTTTCACTCCCCATTGTATGACACTTTTCTTATTATAAAATATTAGATATTCATGCCAGGAACAAGGTAAAAACCCTGGTGGATAAACGCCCCCAGCACGTGGCTAGGCTGCCCCTGGTGACGTCTTGCCCACAGTCCCTCCAGACTTTTGCTTCTATGTGCATAGATGGTTGCATTTAAGACTGAGTTTTTAAATTATAAAAGTCACATAATAGTATAGAGAATTGGGGACCCCTCTGGGTCATGCCCTTCCATCTCAGCTGACCCTGGAGGGCCGTGGCAGGGACCACCCCCTGCTCTGGGCGCACTCACTGCTCCACAGTTCTTTACCTAGTCACCACGCCCTGGGCACTAGGCGCACCTCCGCTCCCCGAGCCCAGCCCTCCCGGTTTCTCCTCGCACTGGAGGCTCCCCACCTCCGCCGCCCCCATCCCCGCCCCCGCCCAGCTCTGCGCCACAACCCTGCCAAGAGGCCAGACCCGGGCAGGTGGGCAGCTGGAGCCCGGACGCCTAATGCGGTGCGGGCCTGGCGGCCCTCTGGCCCTGAGCGCCCCTCCCACCCCGGGTCCCTCCAACCAACCCCTGAGCCCCAGGCCTCACCCGTCCCGCGGCTCAGGCCCCGGTACTAGGGTCCCTGGCGCGCCCCCTTCGCCGGCCTGCGCGCGACTCCCTCCCCACCTGCGCCGCACACCCTTGGAGTCGGGCGTCCCGCGGTGGATCCCGCCGCACGGAGGTGCCAGCAACTTTGTTGACTAAATTCCTGAACCCGCCTGAACCGCGGAGCTAAAAATAACCGGCGCTCCCGCGCAGCGTCCGGCCAGGCCGCGCAGTGTCACCCGTGTCGGGAGACCGGAATGTCCCGGCGCCACCACGCTAGCGGGGCTGGACGCGGGCTCCCGGGCGGCCGGAAAGAAACCTGGGAAGAGGCTGCCGGGTCACGGCCAGCTGGACTGCAGGGGAAGGAGGCACCGAGGAGCACCCCCTGTTCCCCGAGACTCTGTGGCCGCCCCGTCGCGGACGCGAGGCCTCGGAGGTCTCGGGCCCCTTCCCGCGCCCCCCGCACGCCCCGCGCCCTCTGCCCGTGCAGTCCCCAGAGGCGGCCACCAGAGGGCCCTGCCCCTCCTCTCCCTGGCGGCGGGTCACCACCCCTGCCCACAGCTGTTCCCCGCAGGAGATTGACAGCTGGGCTCCGGGTTGCCATGGGGATAGGCAAATGAGAGAGACGGGCCTGGGGCTCCGATTGGTCCGGAGGCGCGTACCCCTCCCAGAAAGGCGGGCCCAGGCGCCCGGCACTATAAGGGGGAGCGCACAGCTCGACGCTCGGCGGTGGAGGCGGGGCCGGGCTGTACGCGGGCGGAGCGAGGGGAGCCCGAGCAGCTGGAGGCGGTGGCCGCACCGCCACCCGCCGGGCCACCGCCCGGCCGCCAGCTCGGGAGCAGGGGGCCGCGGCCGGCCTGCACCCGCCGGGGAGCGACCCAGGGCTGCCCGGCGGCGTCCCCGGGGCCACCCCTGAGTTGGCTGCGTGAAACTTTTCCCCGCGCGCTTCGGCCAGGAGCCCGCGTCTCTCGCCGCCGCCCCCTCAGGGACCCGCCGCCCGTGGGGAGCGAAGGGCGGGAGAGGCCCGTGGCCCACCCCCCCGGCCTCCTGTTGGGGCTCAGCCGGCCAAGGCGGCGGGCGCGCCCCGGGCGATGGCCGCGGAGCTGGCGATGGGCGCCGAGCTGCCCGGCAGCCCGCTGGCCATCGAGTACGTCAATGACTTCGACCTGAGGAAGTTCGAGGTGAAGAAGGAGCCGCCCGAGGCCGAGCGCTTGTGCCGCCGTCTGCCGCCCGGCTCGCTCTCCTCGACGCCGCTCAGCACGCCCTGCTCCTCCGTGCCCTCCTCGCCCAGCTTCTGCGCGCCCAGCCCGGGCACCGGCGGCGGCGCGGCGCAGGCCGGGGCTGCCCCGGGGCCGGCAAGCGGGGGCCCCGGCGCCGTCGGGGGCGCCTCGGGGAAGCCGGCGCTGGAGGATCTGTACTGGATGAGCGGCTACCAGCACCACCTGAACCCCGAGGCGCTCAACCTGACGCCCGAGGACGCGGTGGAGGCGCTCATCGGCAGCGGCCACCACACCGGGCACCACGGTGCGCACCACCACCCAGAGGCCGCCGCGGCCTACGAGGCCTTCCGGGGCCAGGGCTATGCGGGCGGCGGCGCGGACGACATGGGCGCCGGCCACCACCACGGCACGCACCACGCCGCCCACCACCATCACCACCACCACCACCACGGCGGCGCGGGCCATGGCGGCGGCGGCACGGGCCACCACGTGCGCCTGGAGGAGCGCTTCTCCGACGACCAGCTGGTGTCCATGTCCGTGCGCGAGCTAAACAGGCAGCTCCGCGGCTTCAGTAAGGAGGAGGTCATCCGGCTGAAGCAGAAGCGGCGCACGCTCAAGAACCGCGGCTACGCTCAGTCCTGCCGCTTCAAGCGGGTGCAGCAGCGGCACATTCTGGAGAGCGAGAAGTGCCAGCTCCAGAGCCAGGTGGAGCAGCTGAAGCTGGAGGTGGGGCGCCTGGCCAAGGAGCGGGACCTGTACAAGGAGAAATACGAGAAGCTGGCCGGCCGGGGCGGCCCCGGGGGCGCGGGCGGAGCCGGCTTCCCGCGGGAGTCCTCGCCGGGAGTCGGGGCCAAGGGCGCTTCCGACTTCTTCCTGTGAGCACCGGA